TGAAGTCCAACCCACTTAAAGCATTCTAGCTGGGGGATTCTGGGAGTTGAAGTCCAACCCACTTAAAGCTTTCAAGGTTTGAGAAACACTGAATTAGATGATTCAGCGTCTCTTGTGTAATATTAATTATAATATTATTGGAGTATGATGCTTTGGGGAGTGCCATCCCAACGTCCCGGAATCCCTCCCTTCCTTGCAACGGGACGCAAAGTTGGTGTGAAGTTTGCCTCCCCCGCAGGCCTCGGAAGTCGCGCGTTTCAGCCCTTGGAAAAAGGGGGAGTTTGGCGCTTCGTTGGAAGGTGGTTCGGTGTGGTGGGCAGCCTGGCTGCCCGCTCCGGATTTCAGCTCCGTTTTATGCTTCGTGCCCTCCGCCTCCTGCCCCTCCGCCCCAAATGTGGTTTTTCGTCTTTTTTTTTCTTTTCCTTTTGCGCCTGATGCGAAAAGCAGCCTTTGGGGGTTAAGGAAACCGCAGCTTTTTAGCGGGCTACATCGATGCCGCACTGTTTGCGAATGAGGGATCTTTGCAATAGTGACAACAGCAGCAGCACAAAACCTTTGCAAGTCCAGCCCAAGGCAGGTGTTGGAGACGCAGTCCTCATATTTACAACCGGTAATCGTTTACTGACGGGTTACAGTGGCACTGAAAAGAATGTTTTTCATGCTTAACATGAAAACACAGCAACCCTGTGATCAAAATTCAGGCACTTCTCATTCTCTCCTTCCTTCCTTCCTTCCTTCCTTCCTTCCTTCCTTCCTTCCTTCCTTCCTTCCTTCCTTCCTTCCTTCTATCCTTCCTTTCTTCTTTCCGCCCTCCCTCCTTCCTTCCTTCTATCCTTCCTTCCATCCCTCCTTATCATTCCCTTTTCTTTCCTTCCTTCTTTCCTCCATACCTCCTTTCTTTCTTCTTCCTTCCCTCCCTCCTTCCTTCTCATTGCTCCTTCCTTCCTTCTTCCTTTCCTTCTCACTCTTCTTCCTTCCTTCCTTCTTCCTTTCCTCCTGCCTTCTCATTACCTTTTGTTTCCTTCTTTCCTCCATCCCTCCTTCCTTTCTTCTGTCCTTCCTTCCCTCCCTCCTTCCTTCTCATTGCTCCTTCCTTCCTTCCTTTCTTCCTTCCTATTGCTATCGCCTTCCTTCCTTCCTTTCCTATTCTTTCCTCCCTCCCTCCCTCCGTAATTCCCTTCCTCATTCCCTCCTTATGTGATCAAAATTCAGGCACTTCTCATTCTCTCCTTCTTTCCTTCCTTCCTTCCTTCCTTCCTTTCTTTCCTACTCTTTCCTCCCTCGGTAATTCCCTTCCTCATTCCCTCCTTATGTCTGTTTATATATTATCTATCTATCTATCTATCTATCTATCTATCTATCTATCTATCTATCTATCTATCTATCTATCTATCTATATCTATCTCCCTATCTACCCATCCTCCATCTGTTCTTTCTTTCTCCCTCTTTTTTCTTTCCTTTGTTCTTTCTTTTCTTTTTGCTTTTTATCCTTTCCCTCCCTCTCTCTCTCCGCCAATCATTCCTTCGCTGCCTCCTCTTACCCTTCTCTTTCTCTCTTCCTCTTTCCCCTCTCTCTCTCGCCCTCTTTTTTTCTTTCCCTCCCTCCCTCCCTCCCTCCCTCCTTCCCACAGCCCTTCTCTCCTCCCCTCTGGCCTACCTTGCAGGGTCGTTGCACCCCTCCCCTCGTTTGCAAGGGAACTGAGACCCAGGAGAAGGAAAGACTTGCGCCGTCTTAGCGGATTTCCGCACGATTCCCTTTTGCACCGGTTCCGTTTCCTCCTTCCCCGGCTTGCCCTCACCCCCCCACCCCACCCCCCAAAAAACTCTCCCCCCCCTCGACCCATGCCCTGTCCCTCCTGCCTGGGCCAACCCAAGGGGGGCTCTCCACCCCCTACCCCCCCCTTTCCTGGCGCATCCCCCGACCTCCTCTTACCTCCGCTGGCATCCGTCATCGTGCCACCTCCCCCCTTTCCGTTGACTGGTGTGAGTCAGCAACCCTGCCCTTCCCCTTGGTAGCAGCCAGTGACCAGGCCCTGGAGTTGGGGGGGGGGAGGTGGGGGGAGAGAGAGAGAAAGAGGGGAGGGTGGGCTTAGCCTTTTGCCTCTGCCCTTCCCTTCTCCGCCTTCCCTGGCTCTGGAGGGGATTTTTTTTCCAGCCAGATCGCCGCGGAGCCGGAATTGCAAGCCGGAGAAAAGAAGGGACCCCCCTCCAACAGACCCCCACCCCACTCATCCAATTGGGGGGGGGGGGTTCCCAGGCACCTCTAAACGGACTACCCCCCTCCTTCCTTCCTGGGTTTTTCAAGGCTCCCCAAACCAGCCGGGCACCGCCGCCGTCCTCGAGTTGTCTTCGCCAACGGTGCCCGCCAACGGTTACCCTCCCGGGATGGGCACCGGGGCTGGCTAGATTTAACAGGGTGGGGGGCTTCTTGAGGGCTTCCTGGTGGCCTGCCAGGGACCCCCCCCACACTCCAAACACCCCCCCTCACCCCATTTTGCATGGATGCCACCCCTTGGCCCGGAGTATCGACCTGGTGCCTGCACCCCCCCTCCAGAGACGCAGCCGCCCAAGCGTTTATCCGTGCGTCCTCTGCGCTTTTTCGCTGCGAGGAGGATTCACCGGGTGTTTGGAAGGGTAGCCAAGGCAGGCAGGGGTCCAACAGGTGCTGCTACAGCCAGTAGGAAGGGCCAGGAGCTTGTACAACAGCCCTTTTTGGGGTGTGGGGGGAACGTCAGCAACGGAGCAGAAACCTTGCCGCTCGGGAGACAGTTGAGGCAGGCAGGAGTCCAACAGGTGGTGCTGCCGCAACTGGACAGGCACTTCTAAAACGGCCCTGCGGGGGGTTCTAGCCTCAGCGACGGACTCGAAACCTCACCCTCTTCGTCTCTGAGGCTGTTTCACAGGCCCAAAAGAGGCAGGCAGGAGTCCAACCGGTGCCGTGTCGCCGGTGCTGCACAGCCGGAGGGGAAGGGCCAGGAACTTTTAAGCCAGCCTTACCGGGGCAGGGAGGGGGAGCGTAACGTCGGCCCCAGGCCAGGAACCTCGCCCTCTTCCTCTGCGGGGCCGTGCGGGGCTCAACGGTCATCTGGCCGGACGGTTCCTGTTGGGTCAACAACGCGAATTGGCGGATTTGGGGACGCGTCCGTGGAAGGGCAAGGAAGGTCCGCGGCTCCCGGCAGGCCAGAAGGGATTTACGGAGCCGCCTCGTTGGAACCGAATTGGACTTTGGGGGGTTTCTGACCCCCATCGTGGTCCCCCCCTCTCTTTCTCTCTGTCTCTCTCTCTCTCTTTTTTTCTCTTTCTTTCTCCTTTTTCTCTCTCTATCCCTCTTTCTATCTCTATCTCT